GTGTGTGTGTGTGTGTGTGTGTGTGTGTGTGTGTGTGTGTGTGTGTGTGTGACATGGTTGTGGAGGAACTTTGGGCCACTCTTCTTTACAGCACTGCTTCATTCGTTTGAAGCACAGCTCTTTGAAGAGCCACCTGAGTTTCAGTCAGGTTCAGGTTAAGGTTCTGGTTCTGGTTCTGGTCCAAGCTCATGTCTCTGAGAACTGCATGGCCTGACCTTCAGGGTGAAGACTGTCAGTTGTTTGTGCATAACGCTGGTGTTGTGTTAACACACACCTGCAGCTCGCTGGTACAGAAATATAAAAGCTGATACACAAACCCTGAAGTGAAAGAGCTGACAGGTTTTATAAAACTTATCTGCTTTAAACTTGACGTTTTCCTTCCTGAGTGGTAAAAATAATAAATCCCTGGAAACAAGTCTTTGTTGTTTATCTTCTGGTTTGTTTTCTGAGTAAAGAAAAGCTTCAGTTTGTTGAAATGTGAACAACTTTTTCCAGCTTGAAACACAGAAACAGTAAAACCTCTCATCAGCAGCTGGAGCTGCTCGACAAACTGCAGGATCAAAGCTGCAGCTTCTCAACACAACCACAGACGAGCCGTAACCTCGGATCTGCTGCAGCTCGGATCGAGGTCGACTCCTCACCTCCTCCTAATGAGGAGGGGAGGGGAGGAGGGGAGCGAGCAGCGAGGGGGAGGCGCTGCTGGGAACGAGCTGATCAACACTGTCAGCCTCCAGGAGCTGAAACAAAGATCCTGCTGCTCCCATCTGATACAAGCCACTGTTTACATCTGCTTTACTCTTCATCACTGCTCCTCTTCATCACTGCTCCTCTTCATCATTACTCTTCATCACTGCTCCTCTTCATCATTACTCTTCATCACTGCTCCTCTTCATCATTACTCTTCATCACTGCTCCTCTTCATCACTGCTCATCTTAATCACTGCTACTCTTCATCACTGCTCGTCTTCATCACCTCAGTTTTTAGGCCTACAGTCTCAGATGGTTTCTGTCGGAGCAGAGACCAGCAGGAGGAGACCTCCCACCAGGACTCTGAGACCCTCTGAGACCCTCAGAGTCCACAGTCTACGAGGCAAACACTCTGATTGGTTAACGAAGCAACAAGTCAAACCTTGGTTCTGGGTGGATCGGCCGGGGGGCCGGCGGCCTCTCTGCTGAGCTCCATCCTCAGCTTGGCGTCTCCGTGAGGACCCATCAGGTCTGCTGACATCATCTTGAGGCCTGAGAGGACAAACCAGCAGAAGATGAGAACCTGATCCCTGACCCCACCCACACCTCCTCCGTTAACGTCTGGGTTGGTTTAGAGTACCAGGAGCGCTGTAGGCGGGTCCCTGTGGAGTCATCCTCCCAGAGTTGCTGCCTGACTGGTGGCTGTAGGGACCTCCAGGACCTCCAACCTGTGTCATGCCTGGATAGCTGCCCTGCCTGGATACAAAAGAAGAAGTCAGGATGAGCATCAGGAGGACCCGAGTCCAAGATCTGATCGGCTGAATTAAACTCTCCAGAATGTTTTTTAAAAACTTTATTCAGATTTTTATCTTTTATTCCAAACCTACCCATAATGCTCAGGGCCAGTCTGGACAACAGAGTTCTGCTGGGAGGGGTAAGGAGGGTGAGGTGGGTGAGGGGAGGGAGTGATGGCGGGCCGACCCCCCTGCCAGGACTGGTGATAGACGGGCGAGCGAGCAAAGGGAGGTCTGGAGGAAAGAGAGAGAAAATACACCAACATAAAGCTGAGCCTGTCCAGTTCACCTGGATCCTCACTGAACACCTGGATCCACACTGAACACCTGGATCCTCACTGAACACCTGGATCCACACTGAACACCTGGACCCTCACTGAACACCTGGACCCTCACTGAACACCTGGATCCACACTGAACACCTGGATCCTCACTGAGAAACTAATGAGTATGTTTTAAAAACCTCAGTCTGACTTCAGGTCTGTTTAACACAAGAATCTCAAAAATAATTTAGTTTCATTATTTGAACTGAAATCCAACTTTAACTCTTCATCCAGACTCCAGGTGGAGCTGCAGACTCCTGTCTGACCCTCACCTGTCCCCTTAGACCTCACCTGTCCCCTCAGACCTCACCTGTCCCCTCAGACCTCACCTGTCCCCTCTCAGACCTCACCTGTCCCCTCAAGTCTCACCTGTCCCCACTGAGACCTCACCTGTCCCCTCAGACCTCACCTGTCCCCTCTCAGACCTCACCTGTCCCCTCTCAGACCTCACCTGTCCCCACTCAGACCTCACCTGTCCCCTCAGACCTCACCTGTCCCCTCAGACCTCACCTGTCCCCTCTCAGACCTCACCTGTCCTCTCAGGTCTCACCTGGTCTGGGTGGTGCTCGCAGAAGATAAGGAGTTGGCACTTGGTCCAGGGTTGGGGCCCATCTCAGGAGGTTTACAGCTGGCGTTGGGCCCCGGTGGTCCCATGCCCTGTCCTGCGGCCTGCGGCATGTTGGGGGAGGTGGGGGCCATGCTCCCGGCTCCGGTGGGGTAGGGGCGGCTCCCAGCGTTGGGCCCCAGGCTGCGGCTTGCCGGGGTGGAGGGCCCTTGTCCGTGCATAGGGCTAGTGGCATTGGGCCCCAAGCTGTTGGACAGTCCAGGCCCCGGGCCGGGTCCTGGGCCGCTGTAGCTGGCACCAGGTGTCCCGCCGTAGTGAGGGGGCCGAGGATAGTTACCTGGGGGGCTGAACTGGCTGTAGGAGTGGCTGCTCTGCTGGTAGGGGCCATGGTGCATCGGCCCCACCGGTGCAGAGTGAGGGGACATGGGGGGGACACCAAACTGAGACCCCTGGGTGCTGCGCTGCAGGGATGGGGGGAAACCTGAGGAAGACACCAGAGAGGAGGGGAGACACCGTTAGCTTAGCTTAGCTGAGTTTAGCTTAGCTTAGCTTAGTTTAGCTTAGCTAAGTTAAATTTAGCTTAGCTGAGTTTAGCATAGCTTAGTTTAGTTTAGCTTTGCTTAGTTGAGCTTAGCTGATTTTAGCTTAGCTTAGTTTATTTCAGTTTAATTTGGCTTAGCTT